CAACTTCTCAGCAGGTGCATGTGATTTATTCTCCTCCGTGATTCAGACAGCACTGTTCCGCCCGGAAGTTCAGCAGACCTTCCCTTCACGTGGAACTCATGTAATTCTGATTGCGGCTTTGATAATAGAGCGACTGCGAATGAGGAACGCCGATTGTAAGCTCGCGACCGGGCTATCGGCGAACAAAAATCGATGATGTCCGCCATATATTGAGGGACATTTGAAAGTACTTCTTAGATTCGAAGGTACAGCCCTCAAAGTACCGATGATGGCTATATCGAAGTGGATTTCGATGAATTATCCAGAAGATGGATTCGAGCAAGAGGAAGAGCGTCACTCTGTTACCTGGAGCATTTCGAATCTCCAATGCCAGCAGTCATTCGCTTGGACGGTAGCGTGCTCGTCACTCCGCTGGCTACCGGCGAGGGAACGGATGCGTCGCGTTCATCCAAGTCGGATTCCGTAATCCGTCATATCCCAGGCCATAATCCTCCCGAGCCTTTTGGCGATCGATCGAGATGCAACCTACCAAGTGTTTCTCGTTTGAGAGCTGATTCATTTGAGTCACGCTCATGGGGAAATGCACCTCGTGTGAAGATGTAGGTATCTCATCAAAGGCGCTTCAACTCGGCGTACGATTACAACCGACAGCATCGGTATCCCTAATATAATGATCATAATGACAATGATACAATTCAAGTCGAGGTAAGATGTGAGGAAAGGTAGGGAGAGATTCATTTTTTTGAGAGACTTCCCTGCGAGCGCGGATCTCGCCATTCGTTTTCGACACCGTCGTCACCGAAGGGCCACTCCGTGATCCTCGGCGCATGCTTCCGGATGTGGACGATTACGTCCCAGCCCACCCGTTGGCCCCACGAATACAATTATCACCAGAATTGTAACTTCGCTGATTTCCGGAAGGTCCTGAAAAATCACAAGCCGCGCTCATGAGCGGCCGGATTCTGAGCGGGGTCTTATTCGTATCCCCTTATTCTGACATAACCTGCCGTCCTTGGAGGGCGACACCAGCGCTGTGTGTGATGACGACCGTAATATTCGACGATCACGGATTCCGGTTCCGACCTGCCGATAGCTTCGACGATTGCCCCAATCACATCGGCTTCTAGCAATTGTCACCAACGAAAAGAGGAAGACAAGCACAGACCACCTCACGTCTAAGCCATCAGATCAATGCTTCTCCTCGAGAAAGAATCTCCTCTTATTTTGTGACAGCTGCTCAATGATCTCAGAGGAGGTTTCCTTATTGGCGTCTCGGACAGATGTCCGGCTGACTTCGCTAATCGAAAGTGGTTATGCGCAGCGAAAATTGCTTCACAGCGTGAGATATCATCACCGAGGCGGAGTTCCTGCATGGATCGTGAGTCCTAGACTAGTCGCGTCGTTCCCATTTTTCAGGGATGTCTCCCTTTGGAGATCGTCGATCTTAAGATTGTGGATCGTCGACGATGTGGCGGGAAAACTGAATGATGTCGATGGATGCGATCGAAAATCTGTTCCGGAAATATCGACTCAGGGTCATATGCCATATCCAATTCGGTCGCGCTCAGCGTAGGGCTCAGGTCCGATGCCATGGATCCGAAATCGACCAATGCCTCATTGTCGGCCAGGTGATTCCCCGACCCTTCTGAGCAAGGAATCGACTCGCCATGCGGTCCCGCGACTTCGTAAGAAGCACATTCAGGATCACTTCTTCAGACCTACTGGGAGCTCTGAGAACCTTGCAGATTAAGAATATCCAGGGCAGAGTAGGCTCGTCCCAAGAGCGTTCCCTGAGTCCTGCTCGAGGGTACTACTTAGCAGGCATTGTCTTGGATCGGATGAATGCTCCAACTGGAAGACAGCCCCGTGCATTCTCTCGGGTGCGTTCTACGAGCGACAGAGAGCAATCGAGGTATTTATCGGAAAATCTATCGTTTCCGCGACTTTATTAGCAAGCTCCCGAATTTCTACGAGTTTCAATGACAGTGCCCACGATATTCAGCTTGAGGATCGCCCAGCAGGCCGAGTGAGACTGTTCAGGGGGAGGCGAAATTTCTACGAGCGAAGGCCTCGCCATTTGCGTCCGCGCCATTCATCGTAGACACCGTCGTTACGGATGTGCCACTTGGTGATCTTCGGTGCGTCTTTCCAATTGTGGACGTAGACGTCCCATCCGACGCGTTGACCCCACCAGTCCATCGTGCACCAGAACTGGGTGCTCGGCGTTTTGCGGAAAGTCCATCCCAGAGACTGTCCCGGTGCTATCCAAATACCTCCGGCTCCGCCGATTCTGAAAGCCCACAAATCAAAATTACCGTACTTACCCGAATTTACCGACAAGTCGCTGAATTCGGGTTAAGCGGACATTCATTCATTTCATCCATTCATAATCATGGAGGAGTCGTACGAATCGGTGCTCGTTGATTAGTTTTCTCATACCGACCACGAAGCGCAAGTTCTTGATGTACCGCAGTGCATCCGAATCAAGGGGAGGCGCGCTTACACGGTCAAAAGGAAGCTTCAAGTGCTCGCTCGAAGCTCTCCGTGTGAAATACGACGACAACAGAAGTCTGTGCGCGAGGATGGACGGCATTCCCCGAGTAGCCCTCATTGCATGGTGCAATGGAGCATCGAAAGGTAAACTCTAGCTGGTATCTGCCGCGCGTCAGGAGGCGACGAAACGCGAGAGACACATGCAGGACTCAGAAAGCCGCAGGAAGAGAGAGAAGTTTCCAGAGGTGGAGAAAGAACGGATTCGCGGTCAATTGCTCGATGCTACAATTCGAAGCGCGACGGATCCATGCTTAGCAGGATATTTCCGAGCCATTCAATGCATCCCTGGGTTGGTGCTCCCGATTCTTGAAACGATATGATCTCGCACAACGATGTTTCACTTCCGTCGGTCAGAAAATACACGAGCATGCAGCGCAATTAGTTGATCGTATGTTTCGATCGTTCGACGAAAAATCGATCGGTCTCCTCCCTGCAAACATGGACGAAACTCCAGTGTATTTCGACATGCCCGGGAGCAGTACTTTCGACATGAGGGGGATTGAGACTGTGAAATGCAAGACAGCGGGTGATGAAAAGTTACGTTTCGAAGCTGTTCTCACGATTATGTCTGATGGTCACAAATTGCCTCCAATGATCATTTTCGAAGGTTTGAAAAAGTTCCAGCGGGTTACGTTCTCAAAGGCATAATTGTGACCGTCGCATTAGGGGGGTCGATGGCGGGGGCTTTGATGGAAACATACAGACAACAAGTTCGGGAAAAGCAGTCAAGCGGTATCCTAAAGCCTTGATCTCTGTTCATCATGGACACGCATCGCGCGCATCTTGACGAGTCTGTGGCGGAGGGCTTCGCAGAGGCGAATCGAACAGACATCGTGTTCGCTCGAGGCGGTATGATACCGGTTCTACAGCCATTGGATGGCTTCTTTGACAAAAGTTCCAAAACCGGAATGAGGACGAAATTGATTGATTGGATGCGGAACGGTGAAGCGCAATACACAAAAAGTGGCAATCGACAACGAGATTCGTATCAGATGGTTTGCCAATGGGTGCACGGAGCTTGGAATGAGATCGATTCAGATCTGATTGTGACGTCTTTCAAGGGTTGTGGACTAGTTCATTCTCGATCCTTAATGTCAATGTTAGACAATGCATTACCTGTCGTTCTTGGAGGCACACCAAAGATGTGCATGATGACGACCGTGGTTCTCGACGATCACAGACCGCTTTTCCGAATTCGAGACGGCCTTGATGATGGCCCCAATGACATTGGCGATCGCTGAAGCGATGACGAAGGGGTTGCAGTTCGCCACCACCACAAGCGACAACAGAACGACTACCACAGACCACTTCATGTCTGTCCCTTGAGTCGATGCTCTCCGTTCACCAAGGGAGCTATTTTATATCAAGCCGAGTACGATTTAAATTCAGCTTAGAACAGTTCTTAAGTTCTCATCCTTATGGGTCTGGGTTTAATCGGGATTAATTAAGATTATCCGATGATAATTCAACGGAATCCTCTGTGAAGAATTTCAGAAAGAGGAGCCGAATTATGAGAACTCAAGGCAATAGATCCACTGGAGCGGACAGCAAAAGCTGTGGTGTATGGCCGGGTTGCGCCGGGTGCGATCTCAGCACCAATTCCCCCATTCTCTTACCACCCACGCTTTTTTCGAATTCGTGATTCGTGTGGCGTAGTTTAGAGCCATTTAGTGCGATGGGTATTCATTCAGTTGTTGACAAAGCAGCTCGTGATAGCTAAGCCGGATCTCGCTAAGACCCTTGATTTAAGCTTCGCGCCTGAGCTCTCAATACTCTGTGATGCGTCCCGCTTATGACTTCCAGTCTTACAGGCGGAGCTATGATCGCTCTTTCGGACTTGTGTAAGCCGCTCTGGTACCGGATTCTCCAGAATTCAAAGTAAGCCTACAACGCAATGTGACCCCGCGGAATATGCAGAGCTTTTGAGCCCTCGATATTCACCGGAGGATCTCTGCTCCATTACAGCAGCGGAGGATTAGAAATTGACCGCCACACTCATGGTGAAGTGCCGAAAGTATGTCGACCGCCCCTCGCTTGCGGGCGTGCTGAATGAATGTACCTACATGTTGATCAGCTGAGATTTCACCCCGAACTTCCGATTCCAACCCTCACGCTTCATTCTGAAGATGACAGGATTCAAGAGGATGTAGAACCTTGATGATATCAAGGAATAATGGCCGAAAACGGTTGATGTGATCGATGGTTGGTTTACCTAATCGAGGTTCCAAAGGAACACTCTGGAATCATATCGTTTATATCAACCATTCCAAGCGTGAAAGATGAACTTGAAGTAAATTCCCGGAAAGTAGAGACGATCGAGGTTTTGCTGCATGGTCATCGGAGCGTAAAATTTTATAGAGGACCCTGCATTTTATCCGCAGAGATATACGGTGGCACGGCTCATCTCGGCGAATAATGACGCTTCAGGCATGCCATCTCACGTTGGATCATACATTCTTAATCCGGGCGAATGCCGAGTTTGGAGATCGCATTGATGTAAATCCTCGGAGCTCATGCAGACAGCGACCTACCTGAGTGTCAATGTCGCTCGAAGCGAAAACATGCGTACCGAGGATAATGATGCGCTAATTTATATAAGGTATCACATCACCCAAGTCCGAAATTCTTACCGCTGGTGGAACAGAGAATATACTCAAAGGGAATACGGCCTTGTCTGAAGATGCGATTATTTATTCTTAAATGGGCTCATATCAACTTTTCGGCACCGCCTTTCACAAGGAATGTGTCAGAAGTGTCCCATCGCTTTTCGATCCAAATCATGCTTATTGTGGACGGATGTAAAAATGGTCTCTCTGAGACAGGATAAGCTAAGATCCCACTGTCCGACTCTCAGGCGGCAGTGTCCCAAGGAACGGCGTATCAGAGACCCCTTGCATTCCGCTTCGTCTGGATCGGATTGCGCCGGTAATATCAATGAGCTGAGAAGTTACGAGTTCAGGTCTCGCCATTTGCGTCCGCGCCATTCATCGTAGACGCCGTCGTCACGAATGTGCCATTTGGTGATCTTCGGTGCATCGTTCCAATTGTGAACATAGACGTCCCAGCCGACGCGTTGACCCCACCAGTCCATTGTGCACCAGAACTGGGTGCCCGACTTTCTGTGGAAAGTCCATCCCAAAGACGCTCCCGGTGCTACCCAAATACCATCGGCGCCACCGATTCTGAAGAATCAGAGGACAAATCATTGAGATTCGGATCGACGAATCATTACTATATCGATGAGACGCAGTAGTTCGTACGGCGAGGAATTACCTGTCGTCTTTAGAGGCGCACCACAGGTGGGCATGGTGACGTCCGTGATTCTCGACGATGACAGATCTCTGCTCTGAGTGCTCGATAATCTTGATTATGGCCCCGATCACGTTTCCTATCGCAGAAGCGATGATAAATGGGTTGCAGTTGGCTACCGTCAACAGCGACAGCAGGACGACCACCAAAGACCACTTCATGTCTGTTCCCTCAATGCTCTACCATGAACTGCGAGCTACGTTTTATGGATTTTCGTAATCTCTCTTCTCTCCTAGCGATCGAGATTGAGTCAAGTGCGGCAGAAATGCTTTTCATCTCCACTAATCGAAAATCAACCCCCATGATCAGTGATTTTGGAGGCTACAGAGGAAGAAGAGCCCGATCGAAGGGACTCCTGCCGGAACTTGAGCTTCTGCTGGGAGACGGGACAGCAAGGAATGTCTCGCAGACGCGTGAAGAATATCCTGCGATTCCTTTCGCCCATTAAGCGTCGCGATTTCCCCCGCCTCTTTTTTCTTCAATCATTCCAATAGCCAATCTATGCAGATCCCTCGAGAGCTCTCTTGCCCATCCCTGAGCCATCAATATGAAATCACCAGCCAGTACATATTTGTTTTTATCCAGTCCTCAAATCACTTTAATCACCCAAGCTCTTTTGGACCAGGGATTTTCCTGAGCTCGCGGCGATAAAAACCAAACGGATCTAATCCCGCGAACCCGGTAAACCCGATAAGGATTATTGCGATTATTATAGAGACTGAACCGTCAGGCCAGCCCAGATCGGGATCCAGTTCCTCGGACTGTGCATCCGAAAGGGTGAAAGAAGTTGGATCTCAAGCAGGTCCTTCATCGCTGGAATTGCTCCAACGATCCCATTCGATTCCAAAGGAGGAGCTTGATTCCTAGGCAAATATTCCTAGGCTCCTTCATCTGACTTGCGGCCTCATGCAGGTCTCGGGTCCAGAGAGCTCACGAAAACCCTGAATATGTGCAAACGACGTCGAATCGAGAAAGCGCGAAAACCGATGAATTCGACGGGATTTCGCGCCGGAAAGCAAGAGCGACGGGCATTCACAAAGAAATCACTATGCAAGTAGAGGCTTCCCTGCGAGCTAACGCACGAAGACTATGGTCCGACAAGATCGTCGAAAGGGGCTCTCTCAGACGACGATGCGCATTGGCTCGGACTACTCGCCGCAGAATGGCATGGCGTGCGCGGACAATACGACGGGGGAAATGAAGACTTTCGGCCTGAGTTCTCAGTTCACCGCAATCCTGGCCTCGGGAGCGACCCTGTCCAACGGCAGAACACCCTTACGGGGGTCATGACGTGGAAGTTTACCTCGAGATGGCAACTCCTGCACCATGAGAGCGATAGTAATTCACTATGAAATTGTTGACATCGGTGATCAATCCTAGATGTGTCCATCTATGCAGCTGAGGTCCATCGGAAGAAATGCCATCACGGAACAATTGAGACGTCTCACGGAAAAAGTGCCCAAGTCTAGTTATGGAGAATTTCGCAATTCGCGGCTCCTTAAGCCTACACCGAGTAAACCCCGCGAAACTGGCTATTTAACGACTTTCTCAGGGAGGAAACGAAGTGCTATCGTTTACGGTTCGATCACGTGAGACAAGCAAGTCGCGTTTTGATCAGCATCCTAATGGCTTCTCAGGGCGGAAATAAATCGTCGAGGAGCGGTCTGAGAGTACTCGGGAAGTGCCGTTGTGAATGCAGGGAGCGACTGTCGCGGAGAACGTGCGAGATTGTTCACCAGAGGTATCACTCGCTCTCGAAGTCTGAACAGACCGTTTTTTTTAAAAGGTGCCGTTGCGCCGAGGCCTGCCAAAAAACGCAAAGTCATCCAGAGGGACCGAGCGGATAGAAGCGTGATCGAGGCTGGAGGCTTCACTTACGAAGTCTGCCTCAAAATCTTTCTTTCGATTCTCGGTATAGAACGCTCAAAGTTGAGAAAGGAGGTCACGGAAGTTGAGCGTCGAGACGACAAACCCTCCGATTTGAGGGGTCATCACATGAACCGACCTCATCGGATCAGCGCCCAAGCGAAAGTCGATATCACCGCCTGAATCGACTCGCTCTCAAGTCAGGTAAGTCATTACTCCAAGCAGACCAAGGTAGAGCGGAAGTGACTCGATTCAGCCTTAACTATGGCAAAGCTCCACCGCATGTTCATTGCCGAAATTCCCCGAGCACACATTGTGCTACAATAGTTTCGGCAAAGTGGTGAGAGCAAACCGCAAGATCTCGGTGAAGATGATGCTTGAATCATCCATTCCCAGTGGCGTGCGCAGGATTTTTCTTGGGGGGGGGGCTTGATCGGGTCTCCGCATGGGGCTGACATCCAATATGGCGATTCGCTCCTATACTACAGCATTACGAAGGGACCATCTGGGAGGGGGCTATAGCCCGTTTGCTCCCCCCTCGACGGCGACTCATGCATCTATAGCATAGCCAGATCATAATCCTTTCCAGCAGATGCTTCGAGGAAGATAAGCGGCGTTCTCGGGAGACTTCGGATGGGAGTGTTGATTTCAGTCTGATACCGGGCGCATTCTGGATTTGTCGACGGGTGAAGGGTTTTGATACCAAGGTAAGGCTTCCGTGTCTCGCGCGAACCTTCGGGAAGGATCGGAACTATTGGTTCATTCCGAGAGACTTGCCTGCCTATCGAGGGGTGCCCTCGCGATTAGCCGTTCAGAGAAAAACTTTTGTTTTCCCACACAACAGCGACAAGCAAAGGGGAAAACGCCCTCGCACGAGGCGCAGGAGTTCTGTAAGAAGGACACCGCGCCCTTGTCGCAGTAATTTATCCCGATTCGAGTAAACCAGAACGTTCATATCTCATTTCGCTCCGAATGACCCAATTCAGGAAGAGACTCCGAGGCGTCGCAAATCATCGAGTTGGAGTAGAGCAGCGGTTCCCAACCTGGGACTTTTCTGGGGGAGCCGCCGAACCTGGTAGCCGCGGCTCCCCTAGGAGCCGCGAGGCTTTTCTGGGGGAGCCGCGGACGAATTTCTGGTGTAGGTCCGGGCCGTCAGGGTTTGTCAATTCCAAGGGAAGGTTCCGAAACGGATCGACGGTTGTGTTCCCGCCATTCCGTTCAACTCTATCGAGGAGTGAACGAAGCTAAAATAAAATCTCACTCGCTTTCACACCACCGCACGGAGCATCTTTTGTTTCCTTGTGTCTTCGCCGCAGAGAACACTCCATCCACCACTGAGCTTTTTCCCGTGAGCTTCGAGAAGCTCAACTCTTCTCTTCCGTCGAGAGAGATTGGACTCATTTGTTAGAGAGCTCTGGTATGACCGCGAGGCTACCTTTTCCAGCCAGGAGCTGCTTGTCTCCGGAGATTCCCATTCAGTCTTTTTAACGGGGAATTGACGGGAGGGAGGCGGAATATTTGTGAACAATATATGTACATGCAAGTTATGAGTGCCGGAATTGAGCTGCGAATGGTCCTTTTAGGGGAAAAAGAAGGGAGTTTAGGTAGGAGCCGCGGGAGCTGCGTGGGCACTGGGTATCCTGGGAGCCGCGGGAGCCGCGTGGGCACTGGGATCCTGGGAGCCGCGGGGGAATTCTGGGTTCGCTAGGGAGCCGCGGAGCCAAAAAGGTTGGGAACCGCTGGAGTAGAGACTCCACCATGGATCCAGCGAGGAGCGAGCTTCAAGTGATACTTGAGTACGAGGAATCGAAGGGGTGACGGAACAGAGTCATCTGGTTTCGCCGATTCTCATAGCTACGGAGGAAGAAACGCGTGGGAATCATGTTAGTTAGCCCCGGGAAGGCATTCGATGGCTCGGAGTGAAGCACGGGTTTTAGAAAATCGAGAAATAATGACCACGACCCTACTTCCGAGCTCCTCTAGCGAGAGACTGAGGGGCGGAGGCATCAAGAAGCCATGACGAACCTCCACCGGCAGGATTGACAGCCCGACAGACCGTGCTCGACTGCCACCGGCCCCCCTTTCCATTTCTTTTTTCTTCCCTCAGTCATTTTCTTCGATAGGGTGCTATAGAAATCACGCTAACTCCCTTTCTTGCTGCCATTCTGGTCGTTCTCTCCGTAAGGTTCGACGAACTCGGCGACAAGAGGTCCATTGGATACAAATACTGCGCTCTCGCTGCCTTCTAGGACGTTCATCCCAATGACTGTCCTGGAGCCATCCTAATACTCACGACCATCCCGAGGATCCGAGAAAGTTGACATACCTACTCTGGCTCAGAAATTCTGACATTCGGTTGAGGGTCTGACCTGCAGTCTGAAGACTTTCGGAGGGACATTAAGTATGCGGATGACGACGACTGTGACTCCCGACGATCACAGAACAGCGTTGTGTGATAGTCGAGAATCACGGTCGTCATCATGCACGACTCTGATTTGCCTCCAGAGACGACAGGAAGGCCCCTCAACCGACTCTTCGAGAGGGGATGATGTATGTGATTTATCATTCTGAAGATTCACTGAACTCCTCAACCGGCTTCTCAAAATCGGCGGAGTTTCGGTAGCAAGGGGACAATCATTTGAGTGGAGTTTCCGAAAAGCAGTGAGGACGCTATTCTGGTTTATAATGGACAGGTGGGGTCAACGAGATCTATTTGGTTCTTCCTCTTCCGCGATGCCGAACGGATCTGGATCATCCCAGGCATTATCCTACGGCGTCGGTTCGCTACCGCACTGGTCTGCTTCAACCGAAGTCTGTACGAGATGTCCTCGAGGCATAAGACCTCACCACCTCTCCGGGATAAGGTTAGGAGACTTTTCCCGACTGTTCTGCTCTCTCTCATCTCCTAGAGATGGAGTAGGGTTTCCAAATCGTCGACATCAGCTCTACTGCACTGGCCTCTCACTTCGATTTCATAATTGGGGTACATCGTTCAAGGTTTTCTGTGAGTCTTCGGGCGAGAAAATTATCGTACTATGAGGCTCGTTGACTGCTATATCTGCTCACAGTAAAATCGTTTTTCTAATTAATTGATGAGATAACATTGTACGCGGTATACCAACTAGGCATGGTCCCCGTTTAGACAGGAAAATTGGCCCGTCTCTCTTTGCCCGTTCCAGTACGGGTGAAAAAAAACGGGTCCTTTGTTTCGCGTGGAAACCTCTCCCAATGAACGAGGAGAGTGATGAGGCATTAGTAGAGACCTTGAGCAAAGAAAAAGTTGTCAGAACAACATTCTGCTCTTCCA